AATGTTCCCACTTGTGTTTTCTTTGTATTTATTCCATTTGGGTACATAGAGCTTCTTGAATATATATAGTCACATCACTTTCATCAGTTTGGGGAGATTCTTACCCAGTATTTCTTCCAATATTGCTTCTTTTTATATTCTGTATAGTATTTCTTACAGTATATAGAACTTTTCTTATCACTGTGTTCAAATGCCACTGTGTTTTACTGAGGAAATACGATCTGCTGGGTTCTGGCACAAATATCATACTTCCTCCTTTCTTGTAATGAGGTCACATGATCAATTTAAGAACTGAGAAATTTCTAAATGAACTCAGTTTTTTGACATATCATGAAATAATGTGGCATCATAATCCAAACTGCAGAGGAGAAACAAAATAACATCACTATTTCCACAAATTAAAGATATATCTGTGTATCACAACTAACAAAGGATTCTTACCCAAATCCATTTTTTATAATCACATATTAGTAAAAAAAGACACAGAGTTAGGTGGAAAAATGGGAGAGAAATACAAAAAAGCAATTTATAGAAGAAGATATGAAAATGGCCAATAAAATGTGAAAAAAATGATTTTCAACCTTATGATCATGAAAACTAAAATTTATACAATACTGAGTATAATCTCTCACTTCCATTAATGGAAAAAATTAAAGAATTTGACAATGCCTAATGTTGGCAAAAACTTGAAGAAGTAAAAATTCTTATACATTACAGTTAGCAGTACAAACATTTTGGAGAACAATTTGGCAAAATATAGTAAGTTGCAGGTGAGCATGTCTTTAGTAATTCTACTTCCAGGTACATTTATATATGCAATGAAATAAGTCTGTAAACATTTGTTATATTGTTTGCAATAGCAAAAATTTGGGCATAAATTAAATATCCATCAACAGGGAAATTGGCGAATATACTGTATGACATTCATGTTATAGAATACTATAGAGTAGTCAAATAAATGAAGCCAGATATATCTGAAACAAAATGGATTTATAGGGTATATCCAAAACATAATGGTAAAAATGCATAATGACAATGGATACACACAGTGTGACACCATATAAGTAATTTTAAAACACATCACGTTTTACTATGGTGAACATATTATAATGCAAACTTTAAAATGTACACAGAAGATATATACACCAACATCAAGAGAGCAGTTACTTTTCAGTAGAGTAAGGGGGTAATAGGATGATGGCGGGCATATTAAATCTAGAATTCTGTCTATAACATTTCATTTCCTAAAATAAAAAAAGCACCTGAAACAGATCTGGCAAAATCCTGTTGTGTTGTTTAAATTGGGCCAGTTATATGTTCTCTGTAACTTTCTGAATGTTTGAAACATTTCATGATTAAAAATTAAATTATAAATACTACCTCTTTTTCTGTTAAAAATTATAAGCGAAATTTAAAAGGAATTGTCAACCTTCAATGAGAGAAAAATACATAAAATTTTAAAAGCACAACTTTAGTAATAATACTGGACATACCAATTAAAATAATAAGATACCATTTTATTATAACAAAGAAATGATTTATTTTTCTATTTAAAACCCAGTGTGTTGGGCATTTGTATACATTCTTAGATTCAAACTGATACAATGTTATAACACAATTTGTTACTATATACTGAGAGCTTAAAATGCTTAGACCCTTGAGCAAGTTAATTTCAGCTCAATAAAACAAAAATGTGGTTGTTAATCATTTGGTGGTGCAATTCTGGATTGTTTTTATTTTCATCCCTCTATTTTTATTTTATTTTCTATATAATACACAGTGCATATAATAATATATTTTTAAATGAGAAAATAACCTATTAATTGTGATGAAAAACTTGAACAATAAAATTCATAGGAAAATAATGAAATACTGCACTAGTGCAACTAGAAAGTTGTACTGGATTTATAGCCAAGTTCACAGGACAAATAATTAAACCTGTGTAAGGTAGGTCTAGGAATGTTATGCCAAGAAGATTCAAGTTGCTATGTAGTTAGTAAGGAGAAAGAATATTCCTTGCAAAGAAAATAAAACAAAAAATCTTATGCTGAGGCATCAAGGCAGTGTTCCTCAAAGTATGATGCAACTGTATGTCCTAATCATGTAGAGTCATTGTTTTTTATATATAATGTACATCTTTGAGTGCCAGCTCAAACCCACTAAGTCAAAACCCTTGGGTATGGGGCATAGGAGCTTGCACTGTGCATGGCTCCTCAGATGGTTCTTAAACACAAAATTTTGCAACCACATTATAGAAAAATAAAGCAGTATGACATGCTTTGGAAACTGAACATAATTTAGTATAATTAAATTGTAGGTTTTGAGTGGTAGTGGAATGGGGGAGGTGAATCTGGAGAGGAATGTCATGGTCCAAAAGTGAGAAATCTTTAATGACACACTAGGAACTTGAACAGTAATGTGCATATTCAATAGGAAACCAATGAAGAGTTTTAAGTAGAAGAGCAACCTGATAAAATGCTTTTTTTTTTTTCCAGAAAGACTTCCATGGCATAAGTGTGGATGACATAGGCAGGAGGGAAACTTGGAAGAATGTTTTAATCATCCTGGAACAAGGTAAAGAGGATTAAAAGAGACTTCAATAGATACACTTGGTGATGAATTGAATAGGTGGGTAGAGGAAGAAGAAAAATAATTTTTGATGATTCTGATTCCTGCTTTGCCAACCTTCACCTCTAAGTTTATAACAGAATAAATAGAGAATAATTTAAAGCTACAATTCTGTACTTTCCAATTTTTTGGCATGTGTATTTTGAGGTACTTTGATGCAGGCACTCTAGGAGGCTCTACTGTAGTTTCTATGGTTGAACATGTGATAATGGGTATGCATAGAGGAGGCATGAGTGATAGTCCAGAGTTTTTGTTTTTATTTTTGTTTTTCAGTAAAAGACTGTTACTAAAAGCCAGCCCATCCCTCTGTGCTCTTTGGGGTCACAGAATGAGACATTCTTTTCAAGCAGGCTGTCTGGTGAAAGAGCAGCAGTGACTTGTCCTCAAGCTGACTGTGGCAAGAAGGAATTTCCTTTAACTGCAGAATGTCTTAGACAGCTTTACTTATTTCTTCATTAAAATAAAATGGCAGAGGTTTGGGGTATTAGAACAATTGTTTCAGAAGGATCTACCCCCTCCTACTCATACTGAAGAGAGAGCCAGCTGTAGGCCAAATCTAGGCTGAAGGATCCCCTAGGGCTTGGGCTTTGGGGCGGAGGGGGTGGGGGTTAAAGGCAGCAAATACCAGAGTGACCTTTTGTAGGACTAGAAAGCCCCAGAATTCCCATAGACTCTGTGTCACTCACTCCACAACTCCAGAGCATGCAAGATCGGTCTGCTATCATCATTCTCAAAAACCACAAAAACCAGTTATAAATGCAGGCCTTATTCACCCCAAACCCTTTTTATGACACTGTTTTTTACTGTTAGGTTTCATCTCATTTGTCTATAAAAGCACTGCCTCCTCCTCCCCCTCCTCTTTAAAATGTCATTGGTTTGTTGGAGAAATTAGGATATTTGTGCTGTAGGGTGTCCAGCTTTATTGGTTTGGCTGATTGACTGTCCCTGGTTTCTTCTAACTTGCTCCTTTACCCTAATATTGCCTTATAATCTGACAATATAATAGTAAGATCTAGAGGCTTGACTTACTTCAGGTTCAATTTTTATTTTTCTTTCTGTAGGATTACTTCATGGGGATGGGGTGTGCACTTCTTACTGCCTCATATCAAGAGGCAAATAATGTCTATGGGCACACCTCTAGTCATGTTAAAATCATCCATGTGTTCATAGACTTTAGCCGAATTCCTCCATCAACCTTTCATGCCATGCTTTCAGCATCCACAGATAATCATTACCTATATGCATACTTTCATTAGGGGCATCTTCTAACATTTTAATGCATATTATAGGTGGGAGTCTTCCATGAATGATTTGCTCTCATACACTGTTTAGTTTCCCCTGTGGTACAAAATATAAGGATAAAGAAAAGGATAAATGCTTTAGTCTTTCTGTTAATTCATCTGTTTTCTAAGTAATGAGATAGGGCCCTAGTAGCTTCCAGGCATGATCAAGGATGTGTGTGTGTGATTATTAGTTCATTTTATATTCATATTTATATACATACACTGTTGTCAATATTTGTTTTGATGCTCACATTGCCTCATTTTTGGGTGAGTGGAAGCTCCTTGATATTACTCTCCTGTTTTTGTGACAAGATTCATTAGTCTCTGATAGTTTTCTAGCTTTCTGGAATAAGATGGTCCAGGTTCATCTGATGTATTTCCTATCTAAGACCTGGCCTCAACAATTTTTCCTAAGAGCTCTGGTTTGTTTTAGTGAGAAATAGTATTTACAGACACAACCTGTATGGTGGGTGTATTTACTGCTATTAGGTTGACATTGTCTTCAAGGACTTTTCAATGGAAGGATAGAAAATACATTGTTTTTTGAAAGAGGAAATAAATTTTGAGTTCATAGTAATATTTATAATTCCAATTTAAAAGTGAAATGTTTTTCCTTAATTTCTTTATATTTCCTTTTTAAACTGAAAATATGGACTTCTAAAGAAATGTAAATATTTGTATTTTCTCACAGAATGAAGAGTATAATATGGTGTTCTACATATGATAGATTCTAAATAACAAAATCAGCATCACTAATAAGATTACTTGCATTTTCAGATTGCTTCAGAATTTATTTGACCCTTAGATTATATTCCCCAAAAGATGATGTAGTTAAAATACTGGTTTTGGAAGTACCTGAGAGGAATTACACATCCTTTGAGTAGTTCTGCCACAATTTGATATTCATTTGACTTCGGTCATTTTGGTTTCTTTCCAATTTTACAGGTAATGCTTTTTATTCCTTTTAATTTTGGTTTTTAATTATACAATATATTTACTTGGTAAGTTAAAACTGCAGTATAAGGTATATGCACAAAAATTTCATCTCCATTCCTGTCCCATCCTCTGTTTCCTCCCTTTTCTTACAGGTAACCAGTTTTAATGCCCTATATCTTCTGTGATTTGTGTGTATTTGTGTGTGTTTATTTACAGGGTTTTAGATCTTGGTTTGTTTGTCTTTAATGTATTCTGAGGATTGGGTGATATCCATATATACATGTTTTGTTCATTTTCATCCATAATTTCTTCAACCAATCCCCTATTGATGAGCATGTGATTTGTTTTGAGTTCTCAGTTATTCCAAATTATGCATCAGTGAATGTCCTCAGGCATTATTATTTTGTACTGTTGTTACATCTTTGGGATAGATTTTTAAAAGAGGGATTGCTCAAGCAAGGTGCAAATACATTTATAATATTACTAGATCAAGGGCATATTTTGAACATATAAATCTTGCCAAGAAAATATAGGGTTTTTAAAAATATTTAATTTTTAATACACAGAAAAATACTATTTAACTAAAATGATCATATTTATCAAGAATAATTTATTAGTGGAACTTAAATTATTAAATTCATGCATGGTCTCTGGTGTAATATAAATAAACACCTTGAACAATTCAAAAATCTTAACAGCTTTAGTGGCCTCCAATCCATGATGTCTTAGGTAATAATGTAACACAAGGAAAACTATTACAAGCCACGTATGCCATGTATCTATATTTCTACAGAAACACAAACATGTAGTGGGATGGATGAATAAATAATAGAAAAATTGTATTCCCCTTGGAGAACATTTCTTATTTTAATAAATTTACTAGTTTTTTAATTCAGTCCAAGAATTATTTTATTATCTTTTAAATGACATAATAGAAATGGTAAGTTAACCTTGTTTAACATAATAGCACTTGTATTTTTTAAAATGTTAGTGAAACTGCAAGTTTGTCTCCATGGGCATAAAATATAACCCAACTTTTAAATGCAAAGTGAAACATATTTGCTGGTCCTTTTAATGATTATATGTATTAAAAGAACATGATTATATTGTCTTTTGCTTTTCAGTTACTAGCATCTTCTGAAATCAGGAAGAGCAATCCCAAGGACTGGGTGAGTCGTATTTGCTTTCATATCTGATGCGCAGCAAGAATTCAATCTCATAAGAAGTAGTTGAGCAGGAAATTAAAAATAACAGATTCACATTTGAGTAGCAGCTAGTTATGTATAAAAAACACACAAATAAAAAAAGTAACTCATCCCAGTAAAAACTGGTGAATAAATTCACTGATGATTCATATACTCATGTTACCATGTTACTCTTCAGATATAACCATTAAGGCAATAGCATTCACAAGATGACATAGATTAAAAAAAAAAGGTTAAAATTTCTTCTTCTGCATATTCAGCTTTTTCCTGTCAAGAAGCTTTGGCACCTTCTTCTTTCCCTTCTTCAAGGCTTAAGTCAAGAAAATAAAATAAACATTGTACGTCTCCAGTCTGTGGGCTCACTATACATCATTTGCAATACACTTACAAAGTTGCCTTGCCTTATTTTTAATGCTTATAAAGTCAGTTTTACTCACTATCCACTTAGTCAATAATATTCTACCTGTAAAACACAAGGATACAGCTACTGTCTATTGTAGCTCACCAGTATAAGCATTTTGACAAAACTGATCTGGACTAACGTGCTATTTATGTAGTAGCCTAGAAATGGCAATATGCTGTTAGCAAAATGCATACATAAAAATATAATTTTGCTTATGAATTATTTATAAAATTAGCTTAAAAATTGAATAAGAAAAAATTTAGTACCTTTTATACAAACTTGTTTGCAGGCCTTCATGTTAACAAAGTTATTGTTATTCCCTCCACAGCCAGTATAGGTGAAGGCCTCACAGGCTTTGTGTCTTGGATTAAAATAATAGCGAGTCATATTAGCAGAGCATAGTCCCTCATCTTTTGGACTGTAGCAAAATGATGGACCTTTACCAAAAAAGAAAATAAAATTAGAACTGCAGTAATACCAGAATTAGTAAACAGTAATTACTGAAGCAACTGAAGAAAATCTAATCTTGAAGAAGCTTCATTCTGAATCCAAAATATCATACCACACCATTTAAAAAGTGCATCTCCAATATCAAGAAAGCTTATATGCTTTGTTTTGTTAATTCTAAATTTTTATAAACTAGACAGAATTTCTTCTGAAGCTATGCCCTTGTGTCATTTGATGTGTAAGAAATTAATTCCCCAAAACAGATATATTTAGGTGAAAATGAGCTATCTTTCAAGACATAATATGTGACTTGCTCTGGTAAACTTTGTTGGTAGTTTTATATAAATTTTTTATAGGCTTTCCTCCCATTATTAATCAAGAACACATGTATCTAATCCCCAGGTAGCCACCAGAACATTTTACATTTACCCAAACACTTTAAGAAACATCAACAACAACTATCTCTTCAATATTTCAAGATTTTGTATATTTAACACAGTACAGCTATAAGGGCTTTATTCAAGGCCCTACCAAAGCAAATTTTCCTAGTTTGTGGAATTTCTTTGTCTGTGTGTATGTGTCTCTGCTGTGCCTAGACAGTACAGGAAAATGCCTGCCTGTATTGCCTTCCTCTACAAATAATAAACACTGCCCAAGTAACCCATCATTTCAGGGATCGCAGGGGAATAGATGTAGGTAAGAAATGGGGAGAAGGGAACAGAGATACTAGCGATCTTTTTGGGCTGTCATTTGTAACTACTAAAGGAAATTTAACCAAAAATTTTAGAAAGAAATTTTCAAGTTTACCCATCTGAAGTCTGTATATGTAACACTGTCTGATACATACAACTGAGTCCATACAAACCTGAGGTCATGGCATTCTTAATGCATACTGTAATTGTTTTTATGTGAATTGAGCATAAGAGAAATAGCTCTAAAGAAACACTGCAAAAACTTGAATCATGACTGCCACTTACCAGGCCTGAGAATTTGGCAAGTCATTAACTGCTCCTACTTGTATGCTCATCTGTAGAAGTGGGATGCGGAGACTCCCTCACAGGCAGGAGCGTGAAGACTGACCCCGTATTATATGTGAAATCACCAGAATGCAAACCATGTTAATTCCACTTTACTCCCCTAAAGTCTTAATAAAGAAATTGAAATGCCATAAAAATAATATTTACTTCTCCTTGGCACACAGAAGCCCATACAAGTAGCTTCATCTGGGAACCGGTTTTCATTGCTGTGGCACCTGCCAGATACGAATTTTTCACATGTCATGGAACTTAGATTGAAGAAATACTCTTCTCTGGACTCCTCACACTGCCCCTCAGTGACTTCCAGCCGGCAAATTTTGGGGACTTCTAGGAAAAGGAAGACGTAAAACAATGTTAGGCAAAAATTAGCCTTCTTCGTATTACTTTCAAAACTTTACTATTTTTTCAGAAACAATTAGAGGGAAAATTACATCATATTTAATACTGGGATAGTAAATCCCCTGAAGACTGTCCAGTTACTTAGCTTTTTTAAAACAGTGTTTCCAGACCTGACTCAGCTATGATAAATCTTTCAGATTCACTGAAAAGACTCTCTGTTCTCTAAAATGAACAGTTTGCTTTCTGTTTTGTTTCGACATATGAAATTAATCAAACTTATTCAGAGGAATATGCATTCTCCCTGGCTTAGTTCCTTGAATGGTAAAGCCCCATGTTCTGTTACAGGCCTTAACAGATAAAAAAAACATCATTGAAATAAAATAGAAAACAGTACAGTGAATCTCCACTATGTCCTTATACTAACCCAAGACATGTTTGGATATCAGAGGACAAAAGTAAGGTTATAATTTACTAAATCATACGTTAATAATACTGCTAAACATATTTCAGACTGTTGGATAATGGATTCCAGGAAATTACCTCAAGGAGGTCTGAGAACTATAGATTTAGAACTAATGGTAAATGCAGGAAAGCATTTAGGTTGCACCTAACACATTGTACTCCGGCATTATTACACTATAGGCTGAAATATTTCCCTGAGTTTGCACAGGCACAGAATTATGATAAATGCCAATTGGGAGATAAGAAATGTGTTAACAGTTGTAAACTTGTGATTACTTTGAGGAATGTGAACATCGGAGAGCCTTGCTTAGTATTTGAGAAATTCAGGCTAAAACTTACTCTAAGAAACGGGATATGGGAAAGTAAGTTCCTCGCAGCTTTCCTGCGCAGGGAGCGGCGCGAGCTCCGAGTGTGCGAACCACAACTTACTCTCTATCCTCCAGCAAGCTTCATCACAAGCTGCCCAGGTTTCGAAGTTGTTGGCGTTGCCCTCGCAGCCCCCGTACATGAACTGGCGGCAGCTCTGCGTGTACCTGTCGTAGTAGTAACTGGGGATGCGGGCTCGGCAGGGCCCTTCGTCCGGGGGCAGGAGGCAGGTCTCCGCGTTGTTCCCTACAGCCCGCGCAGGAGGACCAAAGAGAGGGACGGGGTCAGCCACATCTCCGGGAAGGAGGAATCTTCCCGGGGAACTCTGTCCCCACCGCGTCCCAGCAAAGGGGCCTCTGCAGAGGGAGAAGGTGCCCACTGGGGGCGAGCGCCCCACTGGCACGGCTCCCGGACGCCCGCTGTGGGGACCTGGGGGCGGCGGGGCGGGGAGAGCGGGTGCAGGGGGCCGCGTGACCCGCCGAGCCCTGGCTGCCTGGGTGGGCGGAAGCCCGACAGAAAGAGAGGGTCCTGGATGATACCTGGCAGCACCTGAGCCGCAGCGCCCAGCACCGTCCCCATCAGGAGCAAAGGCAGAAGCCACAGCCCGAGGGGGCACGCAGGGTTCATTGTGTCCGGTCGGAGCAGCCCTCGGGGCAGGCGTTCCTAGAGAAGCGCGCGCAGCGTCCAGCCTCCGGGCGGCCTGGGTGCGGGAGCTGGGTCCCTGCTTTATTCAGGGACCCGGGGGGGCGGGGCGCGCCGCGGAGCCTGGAGGGGACGCTGATTCACGCCTGTGGGCTGTGACCCGCCTCCGTCGGGCTGGGAGGGGGACGGGGAGGAGTTCCCCACAAGGGTGAACCGGCCTACCAAACTTTCTCCGGACCCTGCGGGGATGACCAGACGGGGCAGCTTGGTGATGGGAAGTCGGCAAGCTGGAGGGAAATGACCTGGGGGAGAGAGCAGTAAGTTTCAACACTCGCAACAGCGCTCTGAAGCCTCAACTCACATTTTGAAAGCATGAAGTCCACGTATTTGAAGGGCAGAGAGAAAGTATGAAATTCGTTGGACCGAGGGCAGCAGAGCTCATTGCAAGAGACCCTTTAATTAGATTAGAAATGTGTGTGTATTGATTTACATCTATACATTTTTCAACTGAAGTCTAATTTACATTTGCTAAATGTAAGTAAGATAGGATGAACTTTATGAATTTTGACTGTATGCACCCTTATAATCGCCAGTCCAATCAAGAATGAAAGCATTTCCGTCACCCCAGAGCAGTCCCTCATACCCTTTCCCAGTGAATCTGTCCATCCGTAGGTCTGGGAAAACTGTTCTTCTGATTACCACAGATCTGTCTTTTTCTGTTCTTGAATCTCATGCAAATGGAATTATAAAGTATGTACTGTTTAGTACTTTTTTTCACTCCATTACTGTTTTTGAGACATACCCATGCTACTGTAAATTCCTTTCAAATCCTGAGTAGTGTTTCAATATATGAATATACAGCAAATGGCCTTTTACTGGACTATTACTAGTTTGGGGTCATTATGAATAAAGCCACTTTGTTTGTATATACAACTTTTATTACTCTTGTGTAAAATATTTAGAAATATTAGAAACTGCTGAACAGTGTTACAAAATGATTACACCATTTTACATCCCCATCAACCGTGTGTGAGAGTTGTAGCTATGCTTTCTCAGCTGGAACATGGATGTTCAAAGAGAGATGGTTTTGGGGAAGTCTAAAACTTTGACCAGATTAGTCCCTTGCTACATGTTTCCTAATGTCAGTGCATCTACTAAAGTTAATTGCTCCTTTTGACATGTTAGCCTCTGTCTAACTTTTTATTGGTACAAAACAAATTATCCACACTAGGATTTTGCATGAAATATTAAAGATTTTCTTTGGAGAACATTTTAATGGATTCCCTTGAATGTGTCTTCCCTTGATCCCCCTTTTCCTCTTGTTCTATTCAATAGTCTCAAGGGAACAATTATCCCTGGCTTCTCCTGAGATTATTGGAAGGAGTTTACAGGAGTTCACTTCCAAGCTGCTGAGAATCCCTGTGCTCGCAGTGAGTTATTAGTCTGAGATATTTTGCACAACTATACTGGTGCCAGTTCTCAGTTATCCTGATGTCATGGCATAGAATCATATTCCTAAGAAACTGGAAATACTCAGTGGCACTGAAGCTGTCAGATTGCCAGATATCTATGATTAAGAATGATAGTTTGAGATATAAGAATAAATGTTTAACAACCAGCTCTCCAGGAGTTTTTAAAAAAAAGGAAAAAAAACCAGAGGTGCTGATTTGTATAGTTAACTGATTTCCATGGTGTAAATGCTTCCTTTATGGCTGATTTTTAAGCCATCAGAGTTGGAAATTGATGGGTGCATTGAGATCTCCAGAGCCAGTGTGAGCTGACTTCAGCATGCCAACCCCTGGGACTGCTAGTTGGCTTCGAAAAGACACATTCATAGGAGATACAGATCAGACCCTCCTAGTGCCTCCAAAATATTATTAGGGGAGGAAAAATTTACCACACATTTAGCCAGGATCATGTTAGGAGAAAAATTAACTCAATATCACACTTAACCTATTTACTTCCATTCTTCTGAATATGACTAAATATATCTCCCAAATGGACTAAAATAAATTCAAGGGCTGATACTGAGTCACACATGTCATTCATCTTTAACTATTGTCACTTCTGTTCTTTATTCTCAATTGCTGGCACTCTTCTTTCTGATCATCTTTTGCTTCATATGAAAAGAGGAATCTTTTGAATTAGGGCAGATTATTTTGTGAAATTGCATGACACAATGGGAAAATAGATGTGGGAGTCAAAGAGGACCTGGATTTTACTCCTTGCTCCTTTGGACAAGTTATATAAAATCCCTGAGCCTTCGTTTCCTTATCCATAAAATGGATATAATAATTGTACCTTACAATTGTGTTATGAGGATTAAAGGGAAAGTGCCTAGGCACTCAAAGAGATATACTTCAGCTCCTCACACATAGGCACAGATCCACCTAGATCATCCATGTCCCAGTTTCCACTGAGAGCACAAAATCCTTAAGTAGCGTCAACCACAGTCAGTAAACAGAACAACATGAACTAGCCTTGTGGGACTGAAACCTGGTATTATTCGCCTATCAGCTCTCTTTGGTCAGGCTCAGAGGCCACCTCTCTGCCTAAGAAGGTATCACATAATCAGACATGACTTTGTGATGGTCTCTTTGGGGGAGATGAGCTTCAGGGTTCTCTCAGCCAGAGCAGAGTAGTCGGTCCACTCTGGCCTGGTGTGTAACAAAAGGAAGGAGTCCAAACCAGCCTTTTCACCCTCTGTGGTGTCCAGTCTGTAGACAAAGGTTTAAATCCATGTTCAAAGGGACTCCAGACATGTTCATTTCCTTCCCCTTTTGTATGCCGAATATGGCACATATTTAACACCCCTGTGACCACTGAAGGGGGACAGGGAGGAAGGAAAAATTGAATGAGGGGGGTAGTTAGAAATTTGAGATTGTCAAGCCAGGTTGTCAGGAAGTAAATTGCTGTTCTCTATGCGGGGAATCTAAATCTCCTGGAGTTATTTTATATCACCTAATGTATCCTTGGGACCATGTGGAAGGAGCCTTGTGACCACCACAAGCAACTTTCATAAAGATGTCATAGTTCTTCCGTCTCCTTAGTCAGTATCTAGGCCAAAAGTTTGCCACATGGATGAGGAAAAGAATTCCTTTATCCAAAGTCAACAGGAAATGCAAGGCTGGAGGGAACAGGGAAGAACAGTCACTCAGATTGATTTGTCACTGCTATATCGTGACCACTTTAGTGGCTGTGGCTAAAGATGCAGGCTCAAAATAGTTTGGAGTTCTGTGTAACACAGCATGGAGTGCTTATAATTTGAATGCTGAAAGGGACTTCAAATACGATCTGTTCCAAGATTTTCATTTCACAGAGTTGTAAATTGAGAACTAGAATGATAAAAGCCGCTGGCTATCTTTACTTACCTTAGTTGTTGGCAGAGCTGAGACTAGAACCCAAGTTCTTAATACACAGCCCTGTATTCCTGTTCACATCCCCAGGCCTGGGCTCTGTCTGCTGGACCCGGCCCTTAGAGTAGAACACTAAGTACCAGCATTAAAGCATAGAAGCTACAGTGACATCAGGAGTGCCCGTGCTGGGGTCAGATTCCTGTCTCTGTGCTTTCCCACTGCCCCCCAGGCCCCATAACAAATGGAAATGAAGTTGATTCAGAGCACCTTAACTCCCAGAACTCTCAAACCTTGAGCAGGATGTTCTGTCCTCTGGGAGCCCCACAGACTTGGAATGTGACCATGAATTTAAGAAAAGGATTGAAACATGGTCTTCGTCTCTGTCAGATGCCTTAAAGAGGTGGCATGTTTAGCTCATGTGTGAACAAGGAGAGTTAATTGAGCCCAGTGATTTGGAGATACATATTTTATAACACAGTCACTCAATAAGTTACATTAATAACTCTTAATAAACAAAGCTCTTGCTGCCTGTTATTTTAAGCCCTATCAAAATAAAATCTGAAATGAGTTCAGCTGGCACTAAGGAGAAGTTTACATATCTGATAAGAAAGGCAGTTAATTTCCTCTGAGAGATTAGGGGTCAGGAAGGTTTTGTTAAAATTTAGGCCACTCCTTCACCAACTGGGCATTTTTCTAGCGAGTTGGACCACAGAGGAAGTGCTTACTCTAATGCGCTCTCTGTCGGTCACAGAGGGCATTTGTGAGTATTCTATAAATAAGGTAGAACTACACAACAGGGTAAGATGTTTTGTCCCTAAGCCTGATTCCCTAGGGAGAATGAGATAATGGAATATAATGTGTCTCTTACCATGCTATTCTTTAACTCACCTCTTTACAAATAAGCCGATTAAATATTTAAAATGTGCCAAGCTTTGTTAGGCATTTGAGATACAGAGATGAATAAACATATTAGAGATCTCATAGCATAATAGAATAAACAGATGAACACTACATAACCTAATTGCAGTTCAGTGTTCTTAGTACAATATTAAAAACTATATACCAGGTTCTGTGGGCCATAGAGGAGGAAGTAAAATTTAAGCAAGAGTTCTAGTCAAACAAAAGCCAATCTACTCAAACATATCTAACATTACATCTTGTATGTTTAGGGGACACAGATATCATCCCTTCATCAACTAGCTGCTTTGTTTGGCTAATTTAGGAATTGTGGTTCTAGCAAAGCATTGCCTTCTGTAGGAGGGTGAAATCTCAGAACCCCCTTTCTCTCTTCCTAGATATATGTTCCCTCAAATATCATGCTTACTTAGGATGCAGACCATCTTTTCACTTGCTCAGGGTGATGCTATTTAACTATGTAGAGGACACAGAAGGTTGGGACAAGTTTTGGACTTTTATCCAAGATCTTTTCAGCACAGTGCAGCCTCAGCACCAGAATTCTAACCTGAGCTATTAATCCACTGAAGAGTGGCACATCAAGAATAAAAGAAGGAAGAGAAAATTTCCCCTCACTACTGTATATCATGTAGGAACCTCAGTAGCAATAACTATAATAATGGGTTATATAATGTTTGTATGACCAAGACTTCAATAAAACTATATAATGTTTATTGAGAGTTTACATTGTACTTCTCATTAGTTCATTAAATCCCCCACAATATGTACTTAGCGAGATGCTTTATTCTCCCCACTCTGCAAATAAGGAAGCTGAAGCTTT